ATTGTATTATTTCATATCTATGTTTTACATTGATAATATCTTTGATATTTTTAGATGCAGCCAATAATTAATGTAAACATATATCACAACGTGAAAATCAAGGGGAAATGTGAATGAGGATGCTTGTGGACTAGGATTTTAAATCATATTTTTAAAACAATAAGTACAGTAAAAACAAGTAAAAAAAAAACTAAGAGTCAATTTGAAATTAACCTTAATTCAGATAAGTTGAGAGATAACTGAGAGGAAAAGAGACAACATGAAAATTAAAACAAAAACGCAAAGGCTGAAACCGTCCTGTTCCTTTTAGGCTGCTACAAATTTCTTCATCATTTTAATGAAAAACCGCAAAAGATTAAACTTTTTTTTTCCACAGATGCATCATGTTGAAAGAAATGTTTTAAAACATAGTTTATTAAGTCAGTCAGTTAGAAACAACTCCTGTATCGGTCACATGACTTTCTTGAAACGACACGCGCACAAGTACAGTGTTTTGCTCCATAGATTCGATGCATGCACCAAAGCATTGGGGTTGCTGGACCCATCACTACTTCCCATCATCATATTAACCCTTTTTTCTGTGCTAGAACTCTGAAAAGCCTTTTCATCTATCAGAGTTCAGACATTAAATCAAAAACCAAACTGATCATGTTGACGAAAACGTTGCACTGGAACAGAAAACCAAAGGTTACACAGTTCAAATCTTTCTAACATTTTTAGTAAAGAAAACTAATCCAGATTGTTCCAGACTAATTTGGTGAAACATGAAATCAGAATCCAGAGGAACGGTCCGTTTCTGGATGAACCAGTAGCCTCAGAAGAACTGGTTTAAAATCATACCTTCTGCAGGAAGGTGGAGCTTCCGTCCAGCCCGTCTTCCCTCCACCTCGCCGTTGGTTTGCATCATTTTGACCTCACAGCTGACTGACTGAACTCTGTCCGCTTTAACAGAGTCTTTTCCTTTGAGTTCGTATTTGCCGACAGACCGTCTGCTTTTGATCTCCTCCACCCTGCGGTTTGACCTCTGAATGAGGGCCTGACGCTTCTGCTGGAAGGCGTCCTGCTGGACGCTGCTCGGACTCCACTGAAACTCCAGGATTGTTGCTGGACATGGGGGATAAAAAACAGGTTGGAATAGATTTGATGTTTTTGCTAAAAAGGAGGGAGCAGAATCATTTTTTTCCCCAACTTTGATTCATCTGAGCTGCAGCAGCTGTTTGTACCTGGAAGCTTCTGACCATCATCCTCAGATAGCTGTGAACAATCTGCCCCCTGGTGGACAAGGTTGGCATAAACATTACAAAGTCAGGATGAATAAAAGGATCCATCAGTTCAGAGCCGTTACCTTGGTTACCAACCCTTCCTGCCCATCATCCTTCATGCTCTCTGGGACTTCCTCATCATCAGTGGCGATGAAGTCCTGATCCTGTAACGTTGTGTCTGTCAGACTCACCAGTGTGATCTGGGACTGCTCCAGGATGCCTCGCTCCCAGCCCACTTCCTGATTCACAGAAACACATTTTAGAAGAGAGTCAAGTTGAAATAAAGCACTGTTTCGATCTACTGTTGAGATTCTGGTTTAAAGTCGTAGAGAAAACATATTTAAATGTCAAATCTTTCTGGCTTAAACAAATATAAATGTACTCTTTATCAGACGATATTGTCCCAAAAGTTAGAAAATTTTTATTTGAAAAAAAAAAAAAACCCGTCTTAAAGTCTGTGGGGTTTTTTGTTATCTTATCCAGGCCAGTTAGTTATACATCAGCTTGAAAACCTCAATTCCGCCAGTAATATGTCAACGGTCATCTGTCAATTTTTTTCAGTCATAGCATCTTAATATATATGTCGCAGCTAATATACCCAACGGTTGAAATAAGAATAATTTCCTTTCCCATTGCTTTCCGTCCCAGTGTTCACAGGGATGGACGTCTGTGCCTTCAGCAGGTGTAGAGCTAACAGAACTGGCAGCGTTGCGAGGCAAGGGCTCAAANAATAATGGACAGATTAATCGATTTGCTAAATACTCCTTAGATTTAGCCCTAGTAATCCTTTTTAGAAATAAACTATTTCTCTATTTGTGTTTTTCCCCCGCAGAATCAATCGCACAGAAGAAGAATATATAAAGATATTCAACTCCATAAACGGGTGAGTTGGTTTTCGTTTTCACACTTCACCTTTTTCCAGAGTAAGATAAAAAAAAACAATAAAAAAAAATGCAAAAACAGACTGGTGATACCCTAAAATGCACAAAATTACCTCACAATCGATCTATATAATCAACATAATTTATCACTTTTTTATTTTTCTAATTACTTTTTTGTATTATTATTGTAAAAGTTAATTTAGTTTTATATTTTGAGATTTAATATCTTTTTAAATGCATTTTTTTTTTCAATTTAAGGGGATATTTATTGATTTAATGATTTTATTGATATATTTAATATTTGAATCACGCATCAAATACATAAAAAAAAAAACATAATATAAATAAGATGAAAATCAATTAAGAAAACCCTTGATTTTTAAATCACAGCTAAAATAAAACCGGAAACGGATCCAAGGAACCATCAGTTGCTGTTAGAAATCAAGGACTGTTCTGTGGGGGGCCTGGCCCCTCTTGGCCCACATCTGGATCCACACCTGCCAAATCAAAACTGTGCAGCAACTTACATTAAAAACCTGCTTAAAACCCGAACGTGGGCATCGCCATCTTCCTTTCCCTTCCTCCTTACCGGGGCTCTGCTTCACCTCTCCAAAATTGTAGCTGCAGCAGACAGGAGGCCTCTGATTGGTCAAATCTAAATCCACTCTACATTATACGTATTTCCTGTTTGGTACCTTACCGGCTTGTTTTGTTTGTATGACCGCCATTAGAAAAAATAGAACAACCAGCTGGAAGAGCGAAGTGCGCGAGAACTGCTGCTGGAGGATAACCAGGCCTTTAGTTGTTGTTTTTTGCAGTTCTGCAGTTCCCACCTAATACCACTAGGGGAAACAAAACTGATAAAACAAATCACTTCATTTTCACTAAAACATATGAAGTTTTCTTCCATTTTTTTTGCGAAGAACATGTTTTTTTTTTAAAGGAAACTTGTAGAAATTGAAGCAAGAAGCAAAAAAAAACAAAACAGATTTTTTTTTATTTCATTCATTTGTAAAGCTTTTAGTGTTTCATTATTTATTTTTCAGTTGGGATTTTTTTCCGAATTTTTACAGCTTTTGTATTTTGATTTATTTCCTCCA